ATGGTTTACATGTTTGAGAAACGCGAATCTACGTCATTCACCTTATTTCCATAAAAGTTTCTCTGTGGGACCTACTAAAAGTTGTTTTTCACTTCATTTGAGCCACAGATTATGTAGAAACATCCATTCAAGAGAAGAAAATGGTCTCATTTGCTGTTCTGAAACGTGCAACCAGGAGAGCAGGTCCCAATGGCTTGGTTGAGGGTCACTGTTCACTCTCACATCTCAGCTTGTCAGATAACGGTGTCCAGGAGTTGTGTGTCACTTCAGCGTGGGATGCAGGAGCGGGGAGTACCCACCAAAGCAAAAGAAGAACGTCATTTTCTAAAGCCTGATGATGACAGGCCCCCACCACTCTCTGTTCCCTCCTCCGTCCCTTTGTGCCTGAACACGTTTCTTCCTGGTGTCCTCGATGACCAAAGGGAGAGATGGTAGCCTGACAGGCTGTTATGTGTTATTTCATTTGCATGGGACATAATTAAAGCCTAAACAGGGTTTCTTCTCATACCTGATATACCTGAGTAGCAGATTGACTGAGAGAAGAATCTGGACGTGATTTCCTTGCATCTGCGCCTTCTCAGCCAGGAGAGCCCTTTCCCTGGTCCTCTCCACCTGCGTGGCGTCTACTCACCTGTCCAGGCTCGGCCTGGATGCTGCCTTGACCTTGGCACCCGTCCCCATCACCCATCAGAAATGAGTCACGTCTCCGCCGCACTCCCCTGGCTCATTAGACCTGTTGCTGCCGTTATTCTGTCCCACCTTGTCCTGTGCTCTTCAGGTGCCCATTCCTTCCTGTCAAGTCCCTGATGCAGGAAGGGTGACCAGTTGTCCCAGTTTGCTTTGAGATGTTTCCTGGGATGTGGACTTCCAGTGCTAAACCCTGGAGAATCCCAGGCAAACCTGGATGGTGCCCCTGCGGGGCCATACACGATGATTCTTTTAAAATCTTACTCCAGGGGCTTCCCTGGTGGTGCGGTGGTTGAGAGTCCGCCTGCCGATGCAGGGGATGCGGGTTCGTGCCCCGGTCCGGGAAGATCCCACATGCCGCGGAGCGGCTGGGCCCGTGAGCCATGGCCTCTGGGCCTGCGCGCCCGGAGCCTGTGCTCCGCAACGGGAGAGGCCACAGCAGTGAGAGGCCCGCGTACAGCCCAAACAAATCTTACTCCAATGAGAATTACGCATCACACAACAAAGGGACTCAATAATGTTTGTCATTGAAACCGTGTTTCCACAGGCTACTCAGCCCAGGGTATAAGAGCAGGTCCCGTAACTATGAGAAACATGGTTTTTCTGCTCTCTCTCCCTTCTGTGGCGAGATGTTCAGCCTCCCGTGCCCTCTGGTCTTTGTCCGACTTCCCAGGGAGGTCTCACACAAGGTCAGATACACTTCAGCCTCCGCTAACTGCCAGGTCAGCTGCCTGATGCAAACTCAGTGCTTCTCACAAGAACAGCATCGTTGGTCCTCACGGATGCCGAGGGGCTTTGGTGCTGCCATGCTCACTGCCAGCAGCATCTGTCCTCCACTTGGCCATGCCCACTACCCAGCTTTGTGCTGGGGTCCTGAGTGGTAGGACCAGAGCCATGAGGCATCCTGGGTGCATCCCTCACCCTCGCCAAGGAAACCTGAGGTACCAATACCACGCTGGTCTTGAGGTAAAGTGGGCTGCATGCCTGGGTGTGCAGGACATTGGAACCGCTTTTCTTACCTGTACAGGTAGGGTGTGAATGACAGTCAAGGGTCTCTTTCCATGGTGCGGTTGTACAGATTAGTAGCAGAACTCAGAGACCGTGACGTGCTCTCAGCCTCTTAGGGAATAAAAATATAGGTGTTTAAGTGGCTGTGATCCATGTGTTCTGGCTGAAAAGATATCTTATTTAGTCTCTATACTCTGTGTTACAATATCCTGGGTGAGAAGGAACTGTTGTTTCCTCTCTAAAGTCCTAAAAAGATAAGGTCTTGGTGACATAGAAACAGAATTTTTAGGCTTCCAGGTTAAGGTGGAAGAAAGTGCAGTGTGGAGCTAAAGCAGTGGAGCCGGGCGAACCGAAGAGCTTCCCAGAGGGTTCTTAGGAAGCTGGGTTCCCTGAGGTTCGTCCCAAACACCGCCACCCTGCTGTTACAGAGACGAGCTCGCAGGGCACCTGAGTTGGCTCCAAGGACCTGGGCAGTGTGGGTCCAGGTACAGATAATTACACCAGAACACACATCTCTGTGCTCACAGTCACCCACGTGCACAACTCTTGCTTACACATCTTTCTGGGGATGGAGTCCAGTGAGAACTGTTTTGAAAAATATGAAAGTTACAAGATCATCAGACATTTGGTGATGGTGTTTCTCTCCGGCAGTGTGTGTTGGCTGCAGTGTAGATAGCTTTAATCGTGCAATCTCCAATCAGATGGAGAACTACTCAAAGGTAGAAACAGCCTACTCCTTTTTTAAGATTTATTGTTTGGTGAAGGAAGGAAGGAAGGAAGGAATAAATGAATAAATGGAAAGGGCCCTGGAGGTGGCCCTCAGAACAAACTCTGCTTTGCCTTTTTGGGAAGCCTGAGCTGGTGAATGAAAAGTAAAGGTCCAGTGTGTCTCTGTTTTATTCCTTGAAAACAGGAAGTCCTTTGATGGATTTTAAAATGCCAACAAAGATGTTACTAGAAAAAACAAGAATGCTTTTTATTCAGGCTCAGTGGGTGACCCTCTGCTGATTCTGGGATGGATTTGTCCAACTGCCCACACTTTTAAAGCATAGTTTTTCGAGCACTTGGTGCTGTGTGTGGGCTTTTATTCTGCCCTGGCAAAGGAAGTTACAGCGTCATCTGGCAGGTTTGCAGAAGGGATCTTTTATGTACAGGGAATTTTGTGCTCGGTGGGTGGTAGCTCTGTCTGCAGGGCTGAGGCTGGGGGAGCATGCAGTTCTGAAGCAGGAATAGCACCTGGCCCCATTCCTGGTCCCTTGTCTGCTTCTTGGAGCCCCACCCTCCATCTGCTTTTAGAATCAGCTCTTCCCTTCCTTCCTCTGGAAAGAGAGAGAATTCTCCGAGCCAAGCCTCTGACCAGGTGAGCCCTCTGGTGCCTCTGCCCAGGGTCAGTAGAATCTTCCCCAGCACTTCCTCCCTCTGGATTCTCTCCTCCTCCTCTCTGCCGTCCTAAACCCGGACCATCCTTCAGGGTTCCAGCCATCCGGCCCCCAAGCTTGGCCGTGCTTTCTGAATTCTGTGAACTTTTTTTGTGTGTGTGTGGTTCACGGGCCTCTCACTGTTGTGACCTTTCCCGTTGCGGAGCACAGGCTCCGGACGCGCAGGCCCAGCGGCCATGGCTCACGGGCCCAGCCGCTCCGCTGCTTGTGGGATCTTCCCGGACTGGGGCACGAACCCGTGTCCCCTGCATCGGCAGGCAGACTGTCAACCACTGCGCCACCAGGGAAGCCCTGAATTCTGTGAACTTTTATCAATGCCACGATGTGTCTGATGATTTCATTTGAGCTCGTTTATTTCTCAAGTAAGGTTTTTGAGTGCAGGAACCGTATCTTCTCTGATCTGCCCAGCAACCCCAGGTAGGCAGTCCCTCCTTCTTGAGGTCACGATAAAAATCACTGCATAAATTGGCCTCTGCAGTTAGAGCTCAGAGACTCTGAAAGACTCTGACATGGATTGTTGTCAGGGGTTCAGGGAAGTTGCAACACAGCGATAAAAGGAATGAAATGGGAGGGCATGCAAAGTATCAACGTATCACAAACGCCATCCTGCCAGTAGAATCGTTCCATTCATTTGCTTTCAGAAATCTGCTAAAATGACACACACACATACATATCTGTACACACATATGTTTTACACATAAACACATTTTTATACACATATATTTACATATACATCCATATACACACATCAACACACATTACGCACGTGATACACACATGTATATGAAGTAAACCCTCAGCAGAGGACAGGGCCTGGGCAAATAACAGATATGCTTTGGTGGGGAAGGCAGGTGTAGGCCTGGCCCCGCCCAGGAGGGCTGCCGGGAGCCTGGCGTGTGTGTGCCGGGTGCCTGGGACCGTCAGCCACAGAGAGGAGCAGTGAAGGAATCTGCCTGGGGAGGGTGAGGTACAGCAGCTATGCTTTTGGACCATCGCCCCTCCACACAGCCATGACACTGGGTGTCCCCAGGGTTTCTAGGGTCCTAAACAAATAAATGTCTTTTTACCTTTGCTCGTTCAGTCTCTAAGACTATTTGTGTTGCACACACGAGAAAAGGCAAGGACAAGGAATCCAGTCTCACCCTCGCTGGACTTCAGTGTTCTCATCTGTACATTGGGCTTTGTGTCTTCTGTACTTTGTAGATTTCTTGTGGCAGAGAAGGGTACAGACCCAGGGCCTTTCTAGACACTGGCTCCAGGCCCTGATGGGCTGGACCTGAGGCAGGTTGAGCCTGTGGCCTCTTTTTTTTTGAAGATGTTGGGGGTAGGAGTTTATTAATTAATAAATTTATTTTTGCTGCGTTGGGTCTTCGTTTCTGTGTGAGGGCTTTCTCTAGTTGTGGCAAGCGGGGGCCACTCTTCATCGCGGTGCGCGGGCCTCTCACTATTGTGGCCTCTCTTGTTGCGGAGTACAGGCTCCAGATGCACAGGCTCACTAGTTGTGGCTCACGGGCCTAGTTGCTCCGCGGCATGTGGGATCCTCCCAGACCAGGGCTTGAACCCGTGTCCCCTGCATTAGCAGGCAGATTCTCAACCACTGCGCCACCAGGGAAGCCCAAGCCTGTGGCCTCTTGCATCTGATTTTCGTTGACCAGATCTGCATGTTTAAATTCCATGGTTTTCTTGGTAAGAGAAATAGGAATACAGGTGATGGCAAGAGCCAGCCAGAATGTCCTGCCCCCTCTCTGCTCTCCTGGCAGCCCAGTTCCCTCCCTGGACCCTTTTGCACTTTACAGAATAGGTATTTGTTTCGGCTTTGCCTGTTGCTGTGAACACAGGACCAGACATCCATGTTTTGTTTTCTAGGGAGATGTGCATCCAGCAGGATGGGAGAGTTCATCTCACCGTCGTTTACTTTGGAAAAGAAGAAATGAATGAGGTCAAAGGAATACTTGAAAACACTTCCAAGTAAGTCTGATGTGGAGCCATGGTGGGGAGTCTGGAACCTGAACGCGGGAGGAGTTACCTGAGCTCATGCAAGCCGTTTTCACTGTGGGCGACCCAACCCGAGAGAGTGACAGGCTGGCCTTTTGCGTGTGGTGGTGTCGGGAGTGGGAGTTCTGCGCCCTCCTTCCTGGGGACCAACTGCCTCACACCCGCCCTCATTGTGAGGGGTGTCAACTTGGACAGTGGAGACAACTGCCCGGAGCACCCAGGGTGGCGGGCAGGGCTCCTCTGGCCCCCGCCTGACACAGAAGGTTTGGGGACCGCACGTGGCAGGGGTGGACTTGGGGAGCACAGCCTTGCAGGGAGCTCCTTCTCAGTCCCCTCTCGTCAAGGTTCGCTCTCATCCACTTAGCAAATGGCCTCACCCTTCTGACTGTCACTCGTTCTGCATTTTGAGAGACCAGGGGCCAGTGATGCTAGGGAGGGACCCTAGATTAACAGAAGCTGTTTAACCAACACTTTTGGACCGAGAGCTCTGGATTTTTACCTTGTTCGTCAGTTACGAGGAGGATTAAATATATTCAAAAGCAGAAGAGAGGGGTTTTTCTTACCAGAAGAAATGAACAAGCATGTAGTTAATGAGTACATATCTGTGGCATTTTCTACTGGTGAGGAAGCTGGTGGCACTGCACACTCCCTCTGGTTTGCAAGCTGCAGGTGAATGACGAGGTGGGTGGTTTCTCCATCAGTGCAGCTTGGAGGGTGGTCAGAGGTACTGGGGGCAGAAGTCGTCTGAGTAGGTCCGTATGGTCTGAATATAAACAAGTCCCTCTGTTTTGAGTCTTTGGTAAATGGTAATAGGATGATAGTCAAAGGATAAGATGCCAAGACTGAGTGCACTTTTTGTATTTATTTTCAGGCTTTGTTACCAATTTTGTGTTACGAGCACAAGATCAGAATGCTAATTATTATTCAAACATCTGAAGCAGTGCACTGGTCAAATTTTGTCCACACTTACTTTTGTAAATAAAGTTTCATTGGCTAGCAGGCGTGCTCATCTGTTTCTGTATTAGTTATGGCTGCTTTCGGGCTACAGCTGCAGGGCTGTATAGTTGTGACAGATACAGTGTGACTCGCAAACTGAACTCTTTACTCTCTGGTCCTTTACAGAAAAAGTTTGCTGACCTCTGTTCTAAAGCAATAAGGAGTTAAAAGAGTTTAAAACTAGTACCAGCTTAAAGCTGTGGCACCTGTTGAAGGGAGATCAAAGGGAATAAAATAATTCAATATCCTAAATGTAAGTGAAATAGAAATCTCTCGACTCCAATGCATTGCAATATCCTTTTCATCTCTGCTTAGGAGTAAGGAGTGTGTTTTTAGAATTCACGTCCTCTGCCCAGTGGATAGGTTTTAACATCTCTGCAAGTAGCCACCCCCTGGGTGTGGACCTTTTTCAAGTTTCCCAGGTGATTCTGACATGCAGCCAGGATTGAGAACGATTGTTTGGGAAAGTGGCGCCCCCCCACCCCCACCCCAGGGGCTGCCCGAGGGAGGCCTTGGTTGCAGCCAGCTGCCTCCTTTCGAGGTATTTTGAAGTAGAGATCCAGGTGATTCGAAAGCCCAGCCAGGACTGAGACATCAGTCCTGTTGGCTCTGGCACCTTCTGAGGACATCAGAAGGTGATCAGATGTCTGATAGATACGTGTAACTAACTTTACACGAGTCTGATGGACGAGTGGAAGGCCAGTTGAGACAGTGTTACGGGAAATACCCTTTCTAGTGACCGGAGCGCCCAGGATTCTATCAAGGCATTCTCCGCCGTATCACATGACCTGGCAAGCTGAATTCGCAATCATAAGGTTGTGTGGTGAGCAAAGAATGAATCTGAACGAGAAAAGTAAAATCATTTGAGGGGTAGGGGTGGCTTGGAAAATTTCCAGAGAGGAAGCTACCCGTGATGGGGACTTCGTTCTGGAGCCTGAGTCAGTCTTTAAAGCAGTGCTGCAGAAGCTTCGGCGAATTCGTTGCAGCACCATTTTCCGTGTTGATTCCTCTTTCTGTTCACTGGCGACACTGCAGTGTTGATGTCACTGATGCCGTGGGGTGTGTCCCGCCCCTTCCAGGGCATTGCTCTAGGAATGCCCTGCCCTCTGCCACCAGCCTGAGCTGATTTCCCACGGCCGCCTGCAGCCCCACCGTCCAGATGAAGTTCCTCGTCACCCACTGTCCCAGCCTGGTACCCAAGCTGGCTCTTACTTCTAACTTTGTTTTGATGACTTACTGCCCCACAGCCAGATGGGGGCGCAGTTTACCCTTTGTCTTCACGCCCATTATTCTCTCAGGTTTGGCCTTCCCTCCATCCTCCTTCCTATTTCCTCAGACCCCCTACCTGTGCATCCGCACCCAGGTCCCTACTCTGGAGCTCATCCTGACCTCTCCTCTCCTCTCTGAACTGTAACCATACGCCCCTTCAGCATCTCTTATCTGTGGCACCTGGCATATGATTTGCCTGTTCACGTTTCTTTCTGCTGTGTCCTCACTAGATTATAAGCTGCTTAGTAGTACTGTGTCGCATGCTTCTGAAACTCCAGCTCTTGGCACTGGGCCTCACTCAGGTTTAAAATGTTCAGTGTTCATTCATCAGGAGAAAGACAATGCCAGGTGTGTAGTAGATTTGTACACATTGTAATCTATATAAAACGCATATACGAAGCTTTATTTAAATACCATTTTTATCATTCTCTTAAGATGCTAGAGCTTTTATTCAAATGCATCTTATCTTTGAATAATATAATAACCATTGTTATTAACATGAGTGATGTCATTTAATATTCACAGCAACCTTATGAGATAGAAGCTGTTATTAACCCCACTTCTTAGATGAAGAAACGGAGGCTTAGAGAGGTTGTTACTCAGGCTGCCACCCCTGCCCAGGGGGACAGCCAGATCTGAACCTCGTCTGTAACTCCTGGACTCCCAGTCTTAACATTGCACCAAATTCTCACTCCAAAAACTGATCATTGTTCATTGAGAATAATAAGATTTGAAACCATTTTAAATGAAATTTATTTCATTTGGCTATCAGCATTGTGATCAAACTGTTCTAAATCTAGCTAATATACATATTTTAAGAATATCTTGAAAAACCCCAGTTTAGTGACTAGCATGCAGTGTTTGTGTCTCTCGGTTTACGCTTACTCTGTCGAGCTTTACGTCTCAGTTGATTGCTGTAGAGCAGTGTTTTGCAAACTACAGTTTGTGATTCATTAGAGGGTTGTGAAATCGATTTAGTGGGTTAGGTGCAGTGTTTTTAAAAAATCAGAATAGAAGATTATCAGAATACATCACAAGTATTAAAGATAAATATTGTTTCATGAAACTTTAATTTCAGAGTGTGTGTGTGTGTGTGCGCGCGCGCGCGCACGCACATGTGTGCGTGCACTGTGTCATGATTTATAATATATTGTTTTGAAAGGGTAAGGGTTGTGGTCAAAATATTTAGAAGCCACTGACGTAGATAACAGTACAAATCAGTTCCAATATCTGATTTTTATTCCACAGAGTTTTTCATACTAAGCTTCAGTTAATCTCAGATTACACCCTAGCTCAGTGGTTCTCAAATATAAATGTACTTTGAATAACCTGGGTGCTTTTTAAAATACAGATTCCTGAGATCCAGCCCCAGAAATTCTGAGTCATTAGGCCTGAGATGAAGCCTGGGAACCAACACTGAGAATGAGCTCAACCTGTGATGCTGATGTGGGCGGTCCATGGCCCACATTTTGAGGAATTCTGGCCTAGGTGGACATTTGCTTGGAGCTATGTATTAGGAAATTTTAAAAAGTTCATACTGGTTGGTGGATTTGCATGAGTTATAATTTACTGCATGGTATCTTCATCTTTGTCCACTCGTGAGGACACAAAGGCATCTTTCAGTAGAATCACCTCTGACGCTGAAGGACTAGAACTGAGATACTGCCCTGTCCTGCAAGTATGTGCCTGAGAGAGGGTTTTGTGTGTGTGTGTTGTCAGGAAAATGCCCTGTTGCCATGGTGTTGTCCACATTTCATGCCTCTTTGAAGGGATTTGCTTGATGTGTACCCTCAGGAACATTGTATCAGGACATCCCAAAAGAAAATTGGGGGGAAACGTCTGAAATTTGAGAATTGTTGCTTTGTTTTAATATTTTTTCATAAACAAGGATGTTTTAGATAAGAATCTCATCTGCTAAAATGAAAAAAGCTACACAGTGAATTCCTTCCTAGAAGATAAAGAGTCTTGGACGCTGGGAAGCACCTCACAGGCTAAGGCAGCACCTAGGCCTGTGGCCATCTCACTGGGCATCTGCCAGAGAAGGGGCTAAGCATGACTCTGCTTGGTGACCAGCTCTTTGTGGAGATGTGCCTGTACTTTTAGGTATTCCAAATTGTTATTTGGGGGATTCAAACATGGCATAGAGATTATAGTATTGTGACAGTGTTAAATTTCTTGAGTATCATTATTACCTTGTTATAACGTTATAAAGGAGAGTGTCCTGGTTCTTGGGGAGTACTTATCTTTGAAAGTGAAGTTGCCATGATGTCTGTAAACTCAAATGGTTCAGAGGAAGGAAGGAAGGGAGGGAGGGAGGGAGCGGGGAAATATGGCAAAACTTTAACACTTGGTGAATCTGGATGATGGTATATGGGTACTTTGCTTACAACACTTCTAAAGGTTTAAATTTTTTCCAAGTAAAACATTGGGGGAAAATATATTATGGAAAAAATTAAATGATATTAAGTTCACACAATAGAATATAATGCAACAGTTAAAAAAAAGGTGATATCAGTGAAAATGGTGGAATAAAGAGCTTGCAAAATTCTCCTCCATAAAAGCAGTGAGAAAATTACTAAAAATTCTCAGAATCAACTTTTTTAAGAACTATGGAAATTAAAGTTTGCAACAGTCTGGAAAGTGTTTATCCAAATGACTGAATTTTGGTGTGAACAGGGAGCTTTGTGAACTTTAACTTGCCCCATTTC